TTTAAAAAATTGGCAATTGGTTTGTAATTCACAAGTTGTTACAGAACTAACCGAAATCTTGCCATGCATTTTGATTTATTTGTGGTTAAATATTGTTAAATATATTATATATTTAAGTGACCACAGTTCGCACGACTCTCAAGTCGAGTCCAAAAATACATGTCCACAAAAATTGACACATGTGAGTAGGTTTATTCACATGGCAAGGGTAGTCGTTGGTCGGTTCAGTTTATCTCCCTCTCCCTCTCTCTCTCTCTCTCACTCTCTGTAGCCATAGACCGTTTTTAGCAATTTTGCGCAAAACTGTCAAAATGACAACTGTCAAATATTTTCAGCTGCGAGCAAATGTTGAAACTCATTAAACAAAACGGCCAAAACGACAAACCAAAACAGCAGCAACAAGAAGAACGACAAAAAGTTGGCTCTAATTAGAAATAAATCGAAAATGTTTTGCAGTCCATTTACATTTTGATGTCAATGCTCACAATTCAGAAAAGCTTTTCCATTTCCATATGCATTTGAAATTTCAGTTTCGGTTTCGACTTTGCCGCATTTTTCGCTCAACAATTTTCAAAATATCAACTGTCAAATTTTTGCAGCAAATGTAACTCACATTTCTATGACAGTTGCCGTCGAGGCCCAGCTCATATGTGAATGGAGATGGTGCGGGGTCTGAGGGGAGCGGAGGGGAACTGTGGACTGTGGGGCTGGTTAACATTTTAGATTGCCATTTGCCGCAGAGCACATCGTGCTGACAATTTTTTGACACAGCTGAAAAATTTGCGAAAATTTCGTCTCATAATTTTTTTTTCCCTTGTTGTTGTTGACTTTGTCTTTTGTTTTGTTTCGAAAATAGCAATTCGGGTTTGTCAACTGTTGTCTAGGGGCACAGTGTGTGTGTGTGTGTGTGGGTGAGTGTGTGTGTGTGGGCGTGGCACTTGTACATAATTATGGCTGGCACTTCATTCAGCCTGTCCAAGGCTACTTAGTTCTTTTTCGGGGTTTGTCTGCCCGCTGACAAGGCAGAAAACAAAAGGACCATTTATGGGCTTCTGAGTTCGAGGTATTCCTCTCATTTCGGGCGTTTGGGTAGTGTTGACAATTTGACATTTCATCTGCATTGAAAATATGTGTTAAATTTCCCCTAATAAAGTGTCTGCTGAACATTACGATGGAAATGTGTGAAACCAGTAGAATGGGCGCCCAATTTGTTTGATTGCGTGCGTAAAGCTGAAATACATTTATGGCGATGTATTTCAGTCAGTTCTAAGCTTGAACCAAGCATTTAAGCTATATTTTAATAGAAGTTATATTTTGAATAAAATTTAACAATTGGACTTCATCATTAACATAGCTAAAAGCTTGTTATCCAGATGTTTAAATTTATCAAGCAGTTTATCCTTCTGCTAAATATTTGACCTGTAGATTGTAAATTGCAGTGTTGCCACTTTGCATGACGGACAACATACTCTAAAAATTTGGTGATGTAGAAAAACAAAATCAACAATAAAATGCAATAGTTTATAGCGCAGAATTAGTCTCTAAGCTGCAAAAATTTTATTTGTACTGACGCAAAGTTTTCCTAATTTTTTAACTTTTCAAAGCTCTTAAAACTTTTTTACTTGTTTTTCTTTTTAAGTCCCACAATTTAAATAAACTTTATCTTTTGTAAAATTTTCCATATCAATATCAGACTTATCAATTTTTAATTGACAGAATATTACATAACTGGCAAATCAGGTGGCAATTGACGAGTGTCAATTAGTTTAAACCACTTGCGTTTATTTAACGCTTGCACACGAATCAAAATGCCAAAGCTCCAGAGCTGCAATTCAGTTGCGATACGTAAGCAAAAGGTTGTAAAAATGAATTGTTTATGCTATTGTGGGGCACATCCAGAGAGCGTTGCAAGCTAAACGATAGACGGAATAGTGAGGGAATGGAGCAGCGGCAGGTCGTTGGAGATGGAGCTGGTTGGGTTGGTGGTAACCATCATTTCAAAATATCGTATCGTAAATTTTCAAGTTAACATCAAAATTGTGAAAATTATGTACAATTCCCAGCAACAGCAATAAGGGCAGCCGAACGAACATTCATAACCAAATTTATTGCAAATAAGAAAAATGTCCGCCACAGGACAGACAAAACAGAGCAGAAGATACTCCACGACGAGTTTGTGTGTGTGAGTGGGAGGGAGAGAGAGAGAGAAGGCGAGAGAAGGCAGCAAATGGTGGCAAGGATAAGGCACAGCGCAGGACATTGGCGAGCTTAGGACATGGACATGGCAACTGGGAGCAGTCACAGTCGCAGTCACAGTCAAAGTGGAGTCATGTGTTCCACAGGACAACAAGGACGAGTGCTGTAAATTCCCTTCCCGCTTCGTGGTCAGCAAAAATGTAGCAAAAATAGATGAAAAGCAGAGCATAAAAAACATAAATTGTGCAGAAGAAAAAGAGAGAAAAAAAAACACACACACAGACAACAAGAAAACTGAAGTGGAAAAAAACACAGATGATGAAAGACAAACATGCGCCACAAGGATAATGGACACGTGGACGGACGCACCACAGGACGAGCTCCACACATTCGTTTGTGTCGTCCGCCACAAACTTTCGCCCAACTATGGCCTGGCCATGGAGAGGAGCGACCAGTGGGAGCAGGCAGCTGGATTTCCATCAAAACAAACATCGGAGCCAACATTTGACGAGCGAACCGAGAACCGAAACGAGCAAAGACGCAGCCACCGAAGCAAATGATATCCTGGTGGGTTGTCCCACGCTTCAGTACTTGGAATGTTTCGAAAAGGGGCTGCTTGAGCAACTAAAAAGGGGTGTGACCAAGCGAAATCTGGCGTTATGTAACTATCTGATTCTGAGATTTCTTCATAGAAATGTCAAAGCACAGAGATGCGGAGTATCAAAGATATTATCTTAAATATTCTGTTTTTGCATTGTTGCGATACTTTCAACTTTTAGGTTAGTTGTATTTATACAAAAGAATTCAACTTGAAATAAGTTTTTGAAAAATGTAGATAGTCGCTTAGGGCAGCTTAAGGATATGAGTCCATGTGTAGTGGAATCCAGTCTTAGAGTTAGGATATATTTAATATTATTTGTTGTTAATTGCAAAGTTAATAAATTTAAATTACACTGAGAAAAACGCTTGCAGCATAGAAGATATTGCATTAGGAAATATGAGAATAGGAACTCGAACTTTCTATTTACCTTCAACCTAACCTTATCTCGGATTGGCTGGCTTAAGAGCAGCCCAAGCTTAGCCTAAAACAAGAATACAAAATTTAGCATTATTTTTGAAAATTATTAACCTTTTTTTAACATTAAAATTTTTGTATTTTTTGTATTTATTGAAATTTTAATTAAAATAAATTGAAATGTGCTCTTCAGAATTGATAATTTGTGAGAATCAGCTTGAGGCCAAAACCTGCAATTATATATGCCCCAAGTTACAATAAACCAAAACTTGGCATTAACAGAGCCTTGATTGTGAAATGAGATGCAAGATCATGTTAAAGCAGTTAAAAGCTAGTCTTATAACTACACCAAAGCATGTAAGCTGTGCTATTGCCTTTAGCTTAAGCTTAAGCTTAATATCTGATTGCAGTTTGCCTGACTAGACTAATATTTGGGTTTATTTACTCTGGGGGTCTAGGGAACGTCTACAGATCCAATGTTGTTTGGTTTTATTTATGTAATGCAAACAGAATTGACGGAACGTCCTTGTTTTTTATGTTTTGCCTGTTCTAAGTCGCAATTGCTTCTTGCTGTTGTAGTTGTATTGGCTGCAGTCAATTTTCTTTGTGTTTTCATTTTTGGCCTTCTGTAATTTGTGTTATTTGGCCATAAAGTTGATGGCTGGCTCGTTTGTTTGACATTCCGCAGGACATGGCCCGAACCCAAATGGAGAGGATACACGACGGCCAAGCAGCAGCAATAGCAGCGGCTGTGGCATATTTTATTTTTCCTAATGATAGCGCACAAAATGTCTCCAAGGGCCAAACCAAAGCGAAAGGAAAAAGGAAAACAAAGCAACAGAACCAACAGCAGCAGCAGCAAAAGTAGCTGCCAAAGTGGCCGAGCCATGGAAAAGCGCACATAAAATGTCAAATTTATGTTTGGCTTTCCTTTGTTTTTACTCAAATCGTACATAGATTATACAGAATTATGACGAGCGCGTGTCTATCCATCGAGCAGGACAATTGCCAGGACTAACCGGCTAAACGGGGGTTGGCCGACTGCCGTTGTCCTTATCGCCCGTCCGAGCGTCCTGTGCAAATAGTTTTCATAAATTAATTTTATTTCGTTTGTGGAGCCATCATGACCGCCATGTTTCTGGCCCCATGGCTCTCTGGGCTTTTGGGCACGAGCTCGGCGAGTTGGGCGAGTTGGGCGACCAATTTTCCCCAACATTTTCATATTTCTTTCCTAATTGTGCGACATTTTCGTTTTCGTCTCTCTAGAAATTGACGTAAATTAGAGCACTTTGCGTCGATTTGCGACGATTTGTTCAACAAAAGCGACTATCGGAAATTCATAAATATTTATGTATACGACCAGATGAGTGTATTGTTTATGTGCAGTATATATCAGAATATATATCTCTATGTATACATGTCTATCCATATTTATATATACAGTACTTGGCTAGCTTTGAGTTACTCGCGAATAAATTATCATTAGCATATTGTAGTAAATATTAAATAAATGTCTTTAGTAGCATCTATTTAAATAATTAGTCAGTTTGTGTAGATAATGGGAGATAGTTATGTACTCTTTTTTTTATATTTATATATTTGACTCATTTCTGTAAGTCAAAAAAAGTAGCGAAGGGACAGCAACCTTTCTCGGTTCAACTCCTTATCTTTTCTAATATATATTTTATTAATATATATTAAAACTAATTTATTTAAAGTTGCCCAGGTCAGAATTCATTTAAAATATATTTAATGTATAATTTAATACATCATTTAAACATGCACTTACCCAAAATATTTATATACACACGCATGATTTGGGAGGAGGACTTCTGAATATTCACATCCGCTAATTAAAGAAAATAAGAAGAGAACGGATTGAAGTTAAAGCAATAGTAGACGAAAAACAAATGAGAAAGAGAGAGAGAAAGTGAAAGATGTAATGTTTTATATGCTAAATAAAAAGAACAAAAGAACATAATCACCTAAGTCTCACTTAAATTCATGAGAATCGCATAGGAAGGCGATACTAAAAAAAAAGTTTGCTACAGAAGAGAATTAATGCATGCACACATGCACAGATATATGTGTTTGGAATATACATATATATTGGAATATAAATAGAAGAATCGAATAGAAGATGAGGAAGGATCTCTCGACTGGGAGGCTAAGAAACAAGTGAGCAAACCAAGAAGGAAGATAATACATATGATATAAATATCTAAGCCTACATTTGCTTAACGATACGAAATTAAACTAACCTATCCATAACCAATGTTTGTGTTTGTCAACATCACGTTCTAACAAACAAGAATAGTGGGATGTTTGCCAGATTGCAAAGAAGAGCGAAGGAGATTTTTAGAAGTTACTTTCAGTTAAATATATATAAAACTCTAAAACACAGAATACTTAAATCATTGATAAATATAGTATTTATAAGGAGTTGAATGCAAATAGCTGTTGAGTTGTGGCGAGGATTTACTTTAGGTTGAGTTGAGAGTCAACAGATTCGATAGTTCCGCATTGGCAACTGTTGCCGTCAGTCCAGATTTGGACGCACGTTTGGTTGACAGTTGGCACAGCTGACAGGCATATAATTCACCCCACCTTGAGGGTAATTGCGCCTTCCTGCAAATGTCCAAAAATATCAAGGCTCTCTGCACCAATTATGAATAGAACAATTAATCTCTAATTATGGCTGAACATCTGTCATGCGAATTATTAGCGCAAATGAAATGAAATGAAATGCAAATCAACGTGAAATGTCCCCTTCCAAGCCCCCAATAGCACCCAACCCACAGAAGAGGCGCACAGATCGTGCTGACGACCTCACAGATCATACTTGCCCTGGCTCTGGCTCTGCCCCTGCCCCAAAGCGGTTGCCAGCTCTTTGCTGATCGGATTATGACAAGCAGCGACACAGCACGACGACAGGCCCTCCCCTCCCTCTACCCCAACCACGCCCCTACCGCGCAGCCAGCAACCAGCTCTCATGAGTTGGACGCATTTTGGCGCATTTGCAGACAATGTTGACGACGCCAACAGATGCACCACAGTGCGATGTGTCTTGGGGTGGGCAACGGGCGGGCAACGGGGCAGACTGGCGGATTGGCGGACTGGCAACTGGCGACTGGCGTTGATTGCCGTCTGATCGCCGCTTGATTTGGATTAAGTGAAAATTCATTAGATCATTTCAGTGGTCGCTCTGTGAGGCGCACTACCGCAGTGGGTTGTGACTGAATAGAGCGCTCCTTATCTCGTCTAAGTATGCCAATTAGTTTATATTAGCGCCACGATTCCAATGGCCAAGAACTCGTCGCGCGATTAACGTCAGGAAGTCGTCGTCGACGTCTGATGTCTCCAGCTACAACAACTGCCCGCAATTGAAATGGAGATCTTATTGTAAGCTCATTAAGTAGCTGACAAGTACACGACAAAAATAATGCGATAATATTGAAATTTTTTCTTTTTGCCATATCCGCATTATCATTGATCGATATTCGTCTTGACATTGCGATGCAACGCCAAGAAAATCTGAGTATTTTGATGGCAATGATTACCAAGCGAAAGTTGAGTAACAGGAGAGTTAAGTTTTTCAAAATCAACAATACTATCAGCATAAATCAGCTGGTGAGTGGCAAAGTCTGAAAACTTTTGTCAGATTTTCGATAAGAAATAAAGCCTTCTAATTAACAAAACGATTTTTTTTATGCAGGAACTATATTTTTGACCGATGGATTCTATGGCAATTGACAGATATAGAAGACAAATTTATTTCATTATGAATTATTGTTCTTTATTTATATATTATATATTTTCATATTTGTTTATTTTGTTGTTTTCTAAAACGCTAATAATTATCTTTAATTTTTTATTTATTTATTTTTTTTTATTTTGTTATTATTTTATTTGTATTTTTTATTTATAATACTTTATATTCTTCTGGCGGAAACGTCAAGCCTTTTCATTCATTGACTAAATCGTGAATTAATTGTTTTCCCATTTTTATAGATTTTTCCCGTAATGGAGTTTCTCACATACTTGACGACCAGATATTGGGGAGCATTAAGAAACAAATATTAAAGTTGTTAATTAGCCTATTTACGCAAATAGGAAACTTAAAAATCCCAATGTAATCAAATCAAAATTCTGTTGCAATTAGCAGATTACAAACTTGCTGAACTAAGTTTCGAATGTGTTCAGCTGGTCCGAGCAAACTCTGAAAAGATAAATCTCCCAGTTGGGCAAATGGACATGCAAAATGACTCAATGAAATGCAAGAGTGGCTGCTGCACAGAAAAAAAGTCGAATTGAGTCAAGGAGACGGCGTGTCCTGACAGCCAGAGCGGCTGCTGCCAACACGTAGAACAAACAAAAATGCGCAGCCGGAGCAGAAGAAGCGGCTATGTCCTTGCTGCCGGGCAGTGATCAAAGCGGACAAGTGGAGTCCATTAAAACACTAACGTCACGTCAAGGACCAAATGATGAATGTGCCTAAGGCGAATGTGAAAATTCAGCGCCAACTGCAGGCGCAAATCAGCCAAAAAGCCAAAAGGACACAAAAGAGAACGACTGACTGACTGATGGTTGTGAATGTGTGTACGTGTGTACGTGTGTGTGTGTGTGTGTGTGTGTGTGTCCTGCGATAACTGAGTTGTTGTTCAGGCGGAGTGCAACGCGGCGTATGTGTAACATGCGGATGGGTCTGAATACCAATCAGAGAAACAACTGCAATGGAGCGAGCACTCGCACTGTCTCCCTCTCTCTCTCTCTCTCACTCGCTCTGTCTCGCTGGCTCTCTCTCTCTCGGCTGCTGGTTTCGCTTTTCGTCCTGCACGGACAGGATGTGATGGCAATTTAAGTCAGACAGTCACTCACATGAGTGCAGAATAAACAGTTTCAAACGCCTCCAAGCGACACTGGCCAATTGCCGGGATGCGGCAGCGAGGGGCAGAGTGTGACAAGGGGGACACGGGGAAGCATCGGAGCACCCGGGGCACGGAAGTGCGCCCTCTGCACCGCTCATGAAGTCATTCACTCAATTTATCGTTTGATGAATGTCCTGGCAGATAGCCGTGCCCATGCACTGGCCAACAACAGGATGCCTACTGGGTGTTGATGCTGATGCCATCACATGTGCACACACAAACACACACAAACATACACACACACCCACACACACGCACGCACAACACATTTAATGGCCATTTGAGCAGTTGATAAACGTTTCGCTCGTTTGCGTTGATGAAATGTTGTCGTTGTCGTGTTGTCGTTCCTGCGCCCGTGTCCCCTCCACGTGGCCCCATTGTCCTTGTTTGTCCTTGTTGCATTTGCTTATTTATGCCTGGCATATGGAGCACAGCGCCAGTGGCATCCTTTGGCCATCCTGTCCATGCGTTTAGTTTTTGCCGCTTATTTCTAATTGTTTTTGTTTAGCTTTTTGCGCTCATCCTTCGTTTGGCTGCGCTCTTTTGATTTATGACTGCAAACGCTTTTGGCAGGACTCACTTCCTTTTTCTCTATCCCTCTCTCCCACTCTGTCAGGCTGCTTTGATGACAATGACACTATTATGATGTCAGACACTGACAGGCGACATACTTCTGCTCACATCTCACAGATGCGCTACAAAATGCGGCTGTGTTTTGTTTTTTACATCCCATTTTGATTGATGGCATAGACGGAATAGTTTCACATAAATAAAACTCCAATAGAACTATGACGGATTATAAACTGTTGGAAAAGCTTGTGTTTGTACTGAGTTTTCTTAATTATATATATTGTCTAATCAAAATGATTGACATACAATATTACCAGATATAAAGGCTATCAAAGAATAAATACCCCAATTGACATATAACTTAAGGGCTTACAGATGTGTGAAGATCGTAGCTGGTATGTTTGGTAAAGATATCTTTATAGATCATAAAATGTGTCAATATAAGAGCTGGACGATATATTATTCTGACGTTAATATCATTTTGTTTAGACTAGATATCTTTATTACAACGAAACGTGTTCACACAAAAATATAATTTTCGACAGATCTTATGGCAGCTATATGATATGCTGGGCAGATCTAGCCGATTTCGCTTTATATATAAATATATATACGTATATATATCGAACTAATACTTATCCAGTATACTTTACACGTATCGTGGCAATATAAGAATACCCTCCTGCCTATATCAGGGAATAACTTAGCTGGTATATTTACCAAACTAAAATAAAATTGTATCTCCTCATTAACTTCCCATGCGATATGTTAAAAGAACTAGGAGATTTGTATTTAATATTCCGCCCAGAGAGTAAACTCGGAATAACTTTTTACCATACAATAATATTCTGTACAACAAATACACTATTCTCACATTTGTATTTCTTATTTTTGTGTACATTTCTCTCCACTAGTCTTCACTGTAGCTGACCAAATGGCATTTCATGTAAGTGCCAATTAATCAAAGCGCGAGTGCAACTAAATTCAAAATATGAAAAAGCTTCACAAAATATATTTTTGCAATCAACAAATCATAAAATCACAAAACTAAAAAAATTAACAAAAATGTGATACAAATGTAAAGTTAAAAAAAAAAGTAAACAAAAATAGTAGCTAGAGAGAGGGAGAGTATTCTGGCGCCGAAGATTAAATACCCTTTGCTGATATTGGACTTACATTTTTGATTTAGTTCAAATTCAATACTCTTAAATCTTTGATTTTCGATATAAGTTCTTTTAAACTCTAGTATCTAAGTAATTTTTACAATATATATTGTAATATATAATATGTATTTATATATATTATAATATATAATGGAAAATGATCCAGGCAAACTAATTATTTTATTATTATTATTATTATCTTGGTTCAATTCCGAAAACCAAACAAATATTTGTATACAACTTTTGAGCTCAACCTTACCAGCCTAAAAGAACTCAAATATATAGAGATACCCTCTAGAAGGGTATATAACAAAAATAGTGTAAAATAAAATATATACGCTTTTTGTTTTCTTAATTTATAATAAAAATGCATTTGCACCGCAGAATAGGAAAAAAATAACTAAGCCAAATCGGAAAAATATGCGGGAATTACCAATTTTCAAAGAGACCACAAAAGTAAAAGCCGAACAAATAGAAAAAGTAAAAGCTAAAGCGGAGCTACAACAACAAACAACGAAAAACAACAAGAATCGGACTCAAATAATTCGCTTTTATTGAGTGTTTCTGATGCAATAAAAAACATTTCAGTTGCATTTCTCTTTGGCTGCTCGTAAAACATTTGTATACCCTGTAGTCGTAAAATATATAAAATAGGGTATAATAATAATGAGAAAGGTGTCCAGAAGCATAAAAGGTGAAAGAACACTTGATCAGCTTGAAGAGTCCAAAGAGATACCAAGTTTGCGGACTTCATAGCTGGAAAGCCACATCTTAATGTATATATAATTATTTGATTGATTGACTGAATGACTGACTGATTGACTAATATAATGACTGACTGACTTTCTGAATGACTGACTGAATCAGTGACTCATTGAATGACTGACTGACTGACTGACTGACTAACTGACTGACTGACTGACTGACTGACTGACTGACTGATTGAATGACTGATTGAATGACTGATTTGTTTGACTGACTGAATCAGATCATCAACGCACAGCCCAAACCTTAAGAGCTGAAAAGCTGAAAGCTTCTATAAGGTTTTGAAACATTTCACCCGCAACTGTGGAAAATTGGTGAAAAACAGGTGCATGACATTTATTTTGCTTAGAATTCGATCAGCTCCTTATCAAAGGTCTCTGCAAAAATGTATCGGAGCCTTTTTATGTAATATAGGGTTTTTTTTTTATAGGGTTGTTTTTTATAGGGTATTTTCTAGTTCAGCTAGTCTTGACTGACTTTATTGACCAGTGCAGACCAAAATTTAGGAGTTGCATTCAGAACCAAACGGATTGTGCATTTTATTTTGAGTGGGGATGGGTAACCGAGTGGGGCTACGCGGCTGGGGTCGGGGCTGGATCTATTAAAGCGACTTAACGAGCCAACAAATTACCACACGTCATAAAAGCAAATCACAAAAATATGTTTTGTGGAGAATGCGACTAAAAATAAATGGGAATCGAAGTGAAGTAAATGCTTCAGCTGGCGCTGAGTGAGTACCCATGGATGTCTCCGAGTGATTTAGGGGCGCAGCTGTGGCGGCGGCTCTACCTGGATTCTCCATGCCAATTTATGCGTGCCGACAAGATTTGAACCCAAACGATGCGGTTGGTAAACACAACATAACTGGTCTAGATCTGTGCGAGTGCGAGTGTTTTAAGCCCAACAAATCGAATGACTCTACTCAAAAAGGTTCCCTACGACAACAATTAAACTCTGTATATATATTTAGATTACATTTAAGTTCTAAACAATTTTTAAGCGCACGACTCCATAAGACACGTTCATTTTGGGCGCAGCAATGCGTGGAAAATCAAGCAACCAAACGAATCTGTTTAAAATATTGCATTAATAAAATATAATAGAAACTTTCAAGTAAATAAATAAAGTATTGAACAAAGCATTTAGAGTATTTAAAAGAAATGAACGCATTTCTTTTCTCATTTCACGTTAGGAATTTCTGAAACATTTCATACATTTTTGATAATATAGGAATTTTTCAGCACTTGATTACAAGCTATCAACCTAAGTTTTTAAATCGTTTGAGGAGTTTTTTGAAAATTCTATACAAGTTGGAAATCATTTGAATTTTCCAGTACTTGATTTATTTTTTTATACTAGATTTTATTATTACTAGATTTGTTATTATTAAATCGATCAACTTATTATTTTTCGATTATTATTTCGACAATTTTTTATAAGTTGTAAATCATTTAAAGTAACTCAAAGAACTAACTAGATTTATTTTTTATATTATTATATAGCACAAGCTATAGGCCTAACTTTTTGAATCGTGGGACGATTTTTTGGAAAATTTTATACAAGTTAGAAAACAATGGAATTTTTCTTACTTTAAATAAGGTTTGATAAAGAAAAATCACACAAAAAATCCTTTTTATTATTAGTTCTATTTTAAATTCCATTTTAAGGAGCACTGGCTGCTATGGACTTCGGCTAAGACAAAACTACTTCTGTACACACTGCCTGAGACTCGAGCCCGCGCCCTTCATTTGCCTAAACAAGCTAAAAAATGTAGAGAGCTCATTTACAGAAGAATGCAATTAAATGAATTTTGATAACCCTTTGAAATAAATAAACCCTTTTGATATAACTACACAACTTCATATATTGATACATAGTATACACACAATTCTCCTAAACTATATTAAAGCTGCCCACCAATTAAACAAAACGACTTTTCATTCCTCTTCTTCAACTTTATTCAAGCGGACATTTATATAATCAAATATGTTTTTATAGAATTGGATTGGTTTCATGAACAGAATTGCAAGACGTTTACTTATAAGTTTTTTTTTTTAATGCGTCTCTCTTTTGACATCCACGTCAGAGGTTTGACTGTACACGGAGCGTATTGACATGCCTTTACGGGCTTCCTGCAGTCGCTTTTCAACGGATTTGCGTCTGTAGCGATGAATGATGCCCCGTTCGACGACGTTGCCTTTATCATCCATGCGAGCAGCCGTCGGATGGCGACGAATCCAAGTCTCCGGCATATCCGGATCGAAGGGTTTATGCGCCAGTATCGGCACCTGTGCTCCATAATAGAACCGAGCCTTCTCGTCTTTCACCGACAGCTTCTGGGATCTGACTGAGACCCGTGCCGAGGTGGGCTCACTTCGCCTGGGCGTATTGTGATATTTCTCGGTTATTGGTAAGGAGCTGGTGTCGCCTTTTATAATTTCATTGTATTCGTTGGATAAGTGCCGCGCCATGCCCTTTGTTCTGTCCATCTCGCTTTCCCGAGCCTGCTTCAGATCGAATCCTTGCAAGGCAACTACCAAATCGTCCAGGTCCCGCTCGATGCCCAAATGATCCTTAATCTGATTTAACAGGTTCCGTAAATTTGAGCCCCGCACCGAACTCCCAATCGCGGGGCCCCGCTTCTCCCCAACATAAACTTGTTGGCCATTTGTGGCTTTGGGTATTAGACCTTTGCTGGGACCTAAATAGCCCACCTTATCGCCAAAATACATTCTCCTTCTAGTCGCATCAAAGGTGGTTTTAGTGATTTCGGCATTGCCAGCGCCTGGTTTCCCAACACGAAATTGAGGCTCAAGCGCGTGATCGAAAGTCCAGTCAGGTCCAAGGCAGGGCTTCCATAAGGCAATTGGATCAAGGCCATCCAAACGATACCTTTCGTATTGCTTATAGCGACGTCTCAGCCCGTTCTGCCTGGCCAGGGAGTTCGGTCCGATGCCCGAGCGGTCAGTGAGCTTCTTACTGTGCCGCGTGGGCTTCGGACCGAATTTCCGTGCCGGGTATTTGGCGTCGCCAAAGAGACTACTGTGCGCACCATTGTCCGACTCCTTGCCCTCCTTGAGCACCGACTGCAGCACGGCCAACAGCTTGACCAGCGACTCCGGCTGGTAGGGAGTGCGCACATTGCCCTCGCTGTCAAAGATGCCGCAGTAGAAGTCGCAGGTGTCGAAGTTGCACAGTGGCACATGGCAATTGTACCAGTAGGAGCCGCGCGGATTCAGCACCTTGGCGAAGTTCTGCATGGTCAGCGTGTACAGAAAGTCTGAGACTACGTCCGCATGGAGACCCACCGCCCGGCTCAGGGCCAAAATGGTGCCACGATTCGTATCAAACCAATAATCCCTGGGCGAGTTCTTGCGGCATTCGCAGGTGGACTTGGACACGTGCAGCCGGTACCGTCGCAGCCACTGTATCCGTTCCGACACGTCCAGAGGCCGCGTCGCACCGCAGCAATCCTTCGCCCGGTCGATCGAGCAGGCGCCTCCGCAGCTGCCTCTGTTGTTGTTGTTGTTGTTGTAGACAGTTGCCAGCTGCTTGGAGTACTTGCTCAAGCTCCCGGCGAACACATTGTTAATGGAGCAGCCGCAACCACAACCGCTCTTTAAGTAAACCATTTTGCAATTCTGCTAGATGAAACCAAATTTTAAGACTATTTTCAAAAATTATAAAACTCTCAATTTCGAATTGACAAATTCTGCAATTCGATTCGAGGATGCAAAGTGGATAAAAACCGCTAAATCGAAAATTCAATCTTGATTTTACAAATCTAATCTGATATCATTAAAATGCTTACCGATAATCGAATGTTGAATTCGATATATATATATCGATATTCCAATCGATGAAAATGCACAAGTTTTTATAACTTTTTTAACATTACCAATTTTCAATACTTTTCCTGATATATTAATCGATATTTATTTATATTTCTGCTACTAAAATCATATAAAACGTTCCTTTCAAGCTTAACCAATATCGATTATTCTATCGATAACAATTGAGTACAGTCAATTAGAAGAAAAAAAACATTTGAAATGACAACTGAAAAACAAACGTCAAAAAGAAGAATGCAAATATAAAACATGTAAGCCCTTTATGTGTGCTGCGTGTGTGTGTGTGTGTTTACAGTAGCTACAACAACAACACCAACAACAACAATTAACGCAAACAGCAAGACAAAGCAGGGCAGGCAAAAAAGACAAAAGCAAAAAAAAAAAAAAGAAAACGAAACATGCCACACAAATAGCCCAGCTCATTGGGTGCGCAAGCGAGATGGCACGAGCCGCTGCTCAGGCAAGTGTGAGCGACGCGCTGACAGCTAACAGGGGAAAGCAAAAGAAAACAACAACTAAAAAGCATAAGCAACAGCAACAGCATTTGAGCGTAAGAGAACGAGAGAGCGCAGGGGTAATGCGCTGGGGAAAAGCGGAACGTGCCGGCAATGGAACAGCGCAGCGTCTGCAAGAGGGGAAAGAGAGACAATACCAATTGGCAATTGCTCGAGTCGCTCTCGTGCTCATCAGAACTGAAGCAGCGTCGGCGACGCTGCACGATGCTCACGCAGAGCGAGAGAATTGTTATTGTTGTCGCTGCTCAGTTGAGCGTATTTTGCTTTGCGCGCTCCAACACAAACAAACGCGCACATTATCTTGTTGGGAGGGGGCGCTGCATGTGCAAGCTTTTGCCGGCAAACGCCAGCAGCGACGTCAGCTGCAGCAGCGACTGCGACCTCCAACCCCCTTGCCGCTGCCAACGACGCCACCTACTATTTGAGTTGGCAAGTGAGACTCAAATCTCTTCAACTTAAAACCGTTAGAATCGCAGATTTAAGCATTTGTGACGTAATACATTTAATTATTTAAGATATCTTAAAAAAATGGAGAATAATTATTTTGAAATTGATTTAACATATAAAGAATATATTTAATTAAGATAATTCCTCCTTTAGCAATATTTTCGGGATGTGCAGTAAATATATAGGATTCAAATATTGTTTTATTTTCTTATCGATTTAACCAATTAGAAAAAATGTGTGACAATTAATTATAAATTAGATATTCGCATATTTAAAATAGACATCAAATGTACAGCTCTTGCCAGCATAAAGATAAATGTACCAGCATTCTTATTGGTCACATTAAAATTTTATCTAAAATATGTTCTGAGTTCATTTCCATGGGCTTTTCTTGCTTAGATTGTGCAGATGTTAAATACAAAGAGAACTTTTTAATTGAAATAGTTACCCCATCTTAAGAGCAAGGGTATATTTTCACTTCCTTAATGCTTTTTAATACCTGGATATTCGTTAATTAGGAAATGAATGAGTTGGTATGGCCTTTTGTTGATAGTTTCCAATAAGACATAATAAACAAAAGACTTCTTCCTATTGGAATCTCATTATATATCTTATTTCTGTGTAGATTTGGGTATTTTATATTTCAATTAAAAATCGTTTACAAAATGAAACATATTCAAAGAATTTATTTGTTGCATTCTTTTATAGAATAATTCATTTTATAATTCTGGCGAAATGTGTAAGACTTTCAAAAGACATCTTCGATAGATTAAATAATATACCTGTAAATTGTCTTTATTTTATAAAAATTTTATTGCATATAAAATCGATTTATCATATTAGAGAAATTGAAAATCTGATATCCGATTATGTCCTTTATTCCCACTAACTTTAGAATTTCTGCAAAACTTAAATCGAAATTTCTACCGTAAAGTAAGTGGAAATAGTTTCTTACCAAAACTCGCTTGCCCAATAATCGGACTAATCCAGAGAAACGAAAATCAATGGATAGATCGCAGCTAATTATCGAAAAGTTCAGATGAACTTTTTCAGCTCACGAGCCGAAATTGACTTTGATCTGAGATACACAGAAATCGAATTGCGATTACAAAATTATGATGATTAACACCTTCGACTTGGAAAGTAGTTTAGTACATTTGTAGGACTATAACGCAATATCTGATCCATCAGTTCGCAGCCGAGTTCAATAGAGTTGCCAGTTCAAAGGCCGCCGCCGCGGCCGACGGGGCAACCACAAACAAATATAAACAAATTGCAGGGATAGATACATTCAGATACACATAGCTAGATATGTAGATACATAATTCAATTGTTAATATTATAATGAGAGGCATCAACAGGTTCGTCAACAACAACAACAACAACAATAACAACTCCCTCTTTTGAAGTCGATCCACGGATACGGCAATCGGTGGCCGCCTTTAATCTTTGCTGCCCCTTGATGGGCCCCTCGATGGGCCGCCGTGATGGATACTTCCGTGTCGGCGGCTTTGGCCGGCTGTGTGGGTGGGCAACCACTTTGTGGCGCCCACTGGCATTAGCCATGCCAAAGCCAGAAACATATTTATAACTGCAATTTTTAATATTTTATTGACTCGCAGCCCTCAATCGACAGAAATGCTTTGAACTTGTTCCAAATGATCAAATTTATAGACAGTCAAAATTTCATATTGTAAATTCTATGAAAATATGCGTAAATAGATGGAGGGAGAGAGAGAGAGCGAGAGAGGGAGAAAAACAGTAGAACGGAAGGGAAGCTTTTGATCTTGCCGATGATGATATGGAATGTTTTTCGATATGTGATTTTCAGAGCAGTTTTTAATCATGTCTAGTATTTATTTCCAGACGAGCAAGAAGAAAATATCTGATCTTGCCTGAAAAAAAGATCTCAATCCTTAGATCTTAATGAAAACAGGTCTTATTGTGCAATGGAATATTCATATATTCTCAAAAGGACAATAGCATTAAAATTGTGGCTTTCATTTGTGAGTATTTCCAATCGATATATTCCTTTGATTTGTAACTAGGGCGGAAGCAGGGGGGGGGGGGTTTCGATAGCTAAAAAATGAAAGATACTTTATCTGTTTTTACTATTAGAGAAGATACATGTAAAATTTCGTGAGTGAAGCTCTGAAAACCTTAGAGATTTGCTCAAAAAATTGATCGCTTTTTATCGACAGCTTGGAAACGGGGCAGGTTATCGAATATCGGAAACAAACTCGATCTGCTCGGGCACAAGGAGGAACTAGTCAAGTCTCCAGCTTTTATATGTTCCGTTCATATATACGGACAGACAGACGACTATCTCTCGATGGAATCGGCTATTGATGCTGATCAAGAATATATATACTTTAAGGGGTCGGAGTTACTTCCTTCTGCCTGATACATACATTTGCACAAATACATTATACCCTTTTTACCCATACTTAATGGATTTAGGGTACATCAAAATATATATTTAACTACGATTTAATCAAAGTGTCTTGGTAAAGTCGATAGGTTTTGAGAAGTTTAGAAATAACAAAAAATTCATTGTCAGCCAGAATTAAATGTCAACGATTTGTATTCAGTATGTACATTTAAATATATATTCACAAGACATCTGTCGGTATTAACATCTATATATATTTCATTTCTAACAATCATGGCTTATGCGGCTGCATCTATAAAGGACGCGGAGAAGCACTCGAATAAACAATATTTGCCACCATTTATCGTTGCCCCCTCGGAACACACAGAGGCAGAGACGGCGGCGGCCAGCAAGGAGCCGCAGGTGAAGGAGCAACTGGTGCCCATGGCCGTTATCAAAAGTGATCACGAGCCGAATTCGGTTAGCATGGAGCTGGATAATCCTTTCTGGATTTCCGTCAGCGGCTATCAGCCGGATTACGCCTATTTGGTATATCGTTTCTTTCTCGATATCGGACACATTGTGGACAAGAGCTTCACAGAAACAAATATAATGTATCTGAAGTATTTCTGTATGATGGATTGCGAAATTGCGCTCAGCTACGATGGCCAAAAGATCGGCTATGGTGGCGATATATACGTACACGTTAAGCCGGAGAATCCCGTGCTGGAGACCCGAATCGAACCAACAACAGAAAATATTATGCAGCCAGCCGTAGACGCCGCTGCTAGCGATGACCCTGATGTGGGCCTATCACCATTATGTGTTATCGATACCGACACAGAGAAGCTGGAGAAGCTAGGGAAGCCAGAGAAACAGCCAAAGGTTGTGAAAAGGGCTGCCGCTTCCAAGCAGGCAAAAGAGAAACCAGAGAAACCGTCACAGATTGTAAAAGAGTCTGCCAAGCAGCCAAGAGAGAATCCAAAGAATATTCCACAGGATGTGGTAGAGGCTCTGAAGGAGGCAAACGAGAAACGAGAGAAATTGCCACAGCTTGTGGAAGAATCTGCCAAGCTGGTAGAAAAGAAACCAGAGAAACCGCCAAAGATTTTGGAAAAGGTTGCCGCTCCCAAGTTGGGAAAAGATCTGAAGCGACAAGTGGCTCGCCGGAAGTTGACTTTTGGGCAATGGCTAAAGCATAAGATATCCTATATATTTTATTTTTACTGATAAACCGTTTTGTTTTTGTTATTGTAGTTGAAATTGCAAACTGATGAACAGCATTAAAAATCCATTTAACGATGGAAAACTTTGTTTATTCCTGGGCCACAAATCAGGTTAAACCCAAAAGTGATTTGAACGAGAACCAAGTTTACTGTCCGAACTATAGAACGAGTAATTGTACATTGAAATATCCACCATTTTTTCTGTTCGTTTTGCAGCGTTTATTTATGACACATAGGTTAGAAATAAGAGAACATAGAACATAGTTCCCATATCTGTATGAAGCCTCCCACGGTTCAAATAAAGTCGATAGCGATAAAATGCAATTGGTATTGTTTGGGTTATTTGCACGCCGGCGACATTATAGAATTTTTAATTACAATAAATCAATTTAAATAAAATGTAATTTTTCAATTTTATCAAATTGTCATTATGCGTAATTAATTCCTATGCACAAATGCATTTTAGTGCCCCACGTTGGGCGCCGCGCCAGTCCACACGCTGGCGCCCTCTACCGTTCGTGGCCAAACAATTGTGCTGCGCTAACTTTTAGCGATTGTCGAAGCGATTATAGCGCCGCAGCTGATGGGAGGGGCGTGGCATTTAGTGGAAAATGGGGCGGTTGATGGTCTGAAATAATCGGACATTTGTTTTGTCAGAAATAATGCTGCTTAATTATTATATTTGTAATTTATTTGCGCCCACGCTTATCAGATCCAAATGCTAAAAAGTATGCATGCTGCTTTAATCCCACATTAATCCCGCACAAAACTGCATCAGCAACAACAGCAACAACAACAAATGCAAAAAAGACCAAAATAGAAATGACAGTAACAAAAACAACAAAAGCAAATGCAGCGCATAGAATGCATAATTAATTTTTATTTTGATGACAACGTCAACGCAACAGTCCAACCGAGCCCGAGCCCAAACCCCAGCCCAAAACACGAACCAAACGTTCGCCCAACATATCCCGCAGTGCGTTCCGAGTGTACCGCAATTATTTTTGATTGCCCAACACTGGCCTGCAACTGACTACTCGACATGCACATCGAAATCAATAGGGCGAAGGGGTGTGAGTATTAAGCCCTGTCATTATAATACTGCAAAATCCATTAAAAATTCCAAACCAAACCTACTTTTTTTGAGCTTGAAATTACGATTTCTTATTAGCCAAGAATCGAGCCTGCAAGCGAATAAGCTTACTGAAGACAACCCAAAGCTAGGACAATGAATCATACATCTTTAAACAGCCTAATAATTTCCAACCATAAAAATATATTTATAAGCACTACAAATAAAACTATAATTAATTAAATTGATCAAATGTGTAAGGACAGAGATGCCTCAAGGTTCGAACATAATCCTGGGTTCTTAGATGTGGAAAACCCAGGTTTGAACATAGTCCCTTGTTCATAGATGTAAGAAATCGGGCTCACAAACTGAATCTTGATGGTTCCAGATGTGAATAGAACCACCGAATACTTTCAATAGTTTTGCTTCAATTAGAACTAGTTTAACTACCCACACTTTCAGCGGACGATTTGCATTTACCCACACTGTCGAAAATAGGAAAATTGCAATGTATATAGATTCACTGCAATCTTTTTAAGTGAAATCTTTCTTGTAAATACTTTTTATATTCCTGCGAACATTACTAATAAGCATTTCCTTTTTTATATGATCTTCTAATTTCGTTAACCAGCACTGTCGATCGGCTACATGTGTTTACCCTCACTTGGCACACTGAAACATATAGCCTCACAGAGAGAGGGGAGAGAGTGTGAGTGAGAATGAGAGGAAGTATATACGAACATCTATGCAATTATGTACATACATATTGATGTATGTGGGCATGTTTATACGGTTTGGGTTAACACACAAATTAACCTCATTTGATATAACAAAGCGAATAGCGGTAAAATGGATAATTTGTTAAATAAATTGTGCGATTTTTATGAAAGCATTAAATATTTGTTATTGTCAGCCAGCGTTTGGGCCATTTGCTGATGCTGTAAACTGGTTATTTGCATTCGGTAAATAACATAAAATTAAAATTCTTTTGTTGTCTTTTCATAGTTTTGCATTACTTTTTTGTAGTTATACTGGGGGGGGGTTTGGATTTTCGTTAACAGATACAAATCCGTTTTATTTGTTTTTTGTATTTAGTTTTTGCTGCTTTTCGGAAAATTGTGTTAAATTTTTATGGCCAGCATATTTGGTTTCTCGCCCTACCTCCGCCCCCGTCCCTATATAATGCGGCTGTCACCAATTACCGATACCCCTGGGTTAGCCATCTGCCCCCATCGACCACCCACAGAATGCTGCTGATGACTGTGCAACTGCAAATCCTCTGAAATTATAGCGTTCATTAAATTTTAAACAAAGGTGATTAGATTTTATAATTCGCATATGCCGCACCTCTCACAGAAATTGCGTACAGTTGTGCTCATTATTTATTTAGAACAATTGCAAAAAGTATTTAGTATTTAGCATTTCGGCATTGTATTTAGCTGTTGTTCCCTTATTTATTAGTAGTTAGCATAATGCATTTTATATTTGTCATATCGAAATGTGGGATCAACAATTGCTCGTTTGTTTTGCGAAAATTAATTTATTTATTTTGCGCTCGATTTTTCTAAATTTCGATTCTTTTTTTTTTTGTCAATTCTAATTAATTTTCACCCGCCACCAGATATCTACTTGCAATTCGATACAAGATTATCGTGCTCATAGAAATATTTGAACCGAACCATTGACAACTTTTGTATTTTTCACTATTACTTAAATAAATACCAGCATAATAATTGTATTTACCTCCAATTAAATCGGAAACTCGACAGAACATTATTAGAATTTTTATCATTTTTTCCTTAGTTTTAGGGCATTTTGAGGGAAACATTGAATAATAATCAAAAATAAATCAAAGCATATTTCCTCATGCCCAAAAATACTATAGAAATATAAATTATTTAATTACTTATTGTCCATTTAATTATAAAAAGAAACATATTTTATATTATACACTGAACCCATTGAGCTGGAGACTTGTCGGTTGAGGAGAGTTGCGAGTTCGACTCCGACTTTATTTTAATAATAAAATTTGTTAATAATTGATTTCCATTAATATTTATATATTTGAAAACTGATTTTTAATTTTCGAATATATCATTTTACCCAGTCTCGATCTTTGGGTTCGAAATAAACTCAAGAAATTTATATTTGGAATATTTCAATTTATATTTTATATCAAATCTGTAAAATGAATATTGGGCTCTTTGAGTACTTCAACACGACAAATCAAACGTCGCCCCACTGTGAGGCGCACCTGAATTTCGCCAAGCCGGTGGCGCAGGTATGTTTGGATCGCATTAAAAAGAGCCCAAAGAACGATTTTAAGCGGTTTCGCCTTGTAAACAGCATCGATGCGAAAGGCTGACGTTGCTGGACAAAAGTCGACGCTGCGACTATGCCAGGAATAGTGAAGCGTGTCTGTCCCGTATGTTCATGTTGAATTACAACTCGTTCTTCTACTGCGGTTGCGATGACAACCATCTATTCCGATTTATGTGCATCGTATTGCTGCTCATTGTCAGTTCCTTGCTCTTTTGGGTCATATACTTTACCACGAAAAACTTGTAAGTAGTGTTGGGAGGAGAATTTTAGTTATAAATAATTTCCCCCAACTGAATTTTAGCTTTGTGCCTGCTTTAACGGGCATATCGAAAATGCTGAACATGAATGAATATATCGCTGGACTGACCATACTGACACTCGGCAATAATGCTCCAGACATATTCAGTGGCGTTGTTGCAATAAACTCGGACTCGCGTCACATCTATTCAGATGCCATGTCCGTGAATCTATTCGTGAGCGTATTCACAGCATCCATTATCGTATGGGTAACGCCATTTGCCATCGATGGGATATTCTTTCTCCGCGATGTGGGTTTCGTATTGCTCTACGTAAGCTATGTGGACTTAACAATTAAGGTTTGCAACGGTTACATAACAATTGCCTGGGCCGTATCGATGTCTCTCATATGTCCCATTTATATTGCGGTTGTCACTTGCGATCAGTACCTTCAGTATCGCAGGGATAAGGGTGAGTTATGTGCGAAAATGGAGTGGTTGCCCCCGCAATGATTTGTGACTCTATATGCAGAATTGCGGGAGAAGGCAAAACAAGTCGCAGAGTCGCAGAGCATTTTTAGCAAGCCATCCCTCTCATTCCCAACAAGTACTCCAGTCAGTCTTCTGGACATGAGGCGACGCACTCATAAGCCCAATAGGCATCTACTTCGGCAATTCTTTCGGGTCTTTGACACCTTGGACAGAAAGGGCTTCAACAGCCAGTGGACCATCTGCAAGATGTGGGCCTTGGTTAAGGTGCCGCCTCTGATTCTCTTGCGCCTATATATACCACAAATGTACTTCCACGATTGCGGCTACACGTGGTCCAAGCTGCTCTGCTGCATCCAGATTTTCCTCACACCGACAACAATCATTGTATTGATCGGTCGGTAGCTGCGCCAGATTGGGTATTTGACAGTTAACCTGCATCTTGTGTTTCTTTTCCTTGCCACAGTTCATATCTATTTAAAACTACACAAATGGACTCTACCCGCTTTTGGGATCTGTTGTGGCATAACCATACCACTATCGGGCCTAGCCTTTCTGCATTCGCGCACGGACACGGTGCCCCGCTGGTACAAATACATGGCCATATTGAACGTGATAGGCAGCATTTTTGTGCTCTACGTGGCGACCAAAGAGCTGGTTGCCGTGGTCGAAACTGTGGGCATTACACTCAACCGCAGTCATACGTTCATCGGATGCACCCTCTACACTTGGGGCTGTTGCCTAACTGATACTATGGCAAATGCGGGCATGGCCCGCAAGGGTTTTCCCCGGATGGCCTTTTCCGCTTGTTTCGGGTATATCATGTTCTGTATGTCGCGTTTCACATCTACTTCATTAACACAACGATTAATTCGTGTGCGATCTCCATTTCAGCTACCTTTGGGGCCGTTTGCATGCCAGTTTTGTATAATGTTATAATTTCGCCACCAGGTGAATTTCGAGTGAGTATTTGAAGATTTTTGAATTATTGTCGCATTAAATATATATGTATATGAATATAGAGATATATAGAGTGCAACAGGTCTGCAGTCATGGTCCCGATAAAGTGAGTGACAGTCAAAATTGCAATGCAATATCGAAATTGTAGCTTGTCACAGATCTTATATCTAAGGGTAGACCTTGCATGTATCGCGAATATTCTAATAATTAGATAGTCGTTTCGAGATCAATTTCGACTATCGGCTCCAGGTTAGGGCAAATGCCGTGACCCTCTTTAAGTGGTTGAGAATTGTTAAGCGAGGAAAATAGAAAAGGGATAGAAAGGAGGCAACATTGATAGATAGAAGTTACTCGTAATTTATCCCAGCTAAAAGTTGGTTATATAAATATATTTTTATATTAATTATATATTTTTATCTTTATATCCTTCGTCAGATCACCGAGGGTACCGTTGGCGAATCGGCCTCTATTATGCTCATCATAGGTCTCGTTATGATCATTTTTTACGGCATTACCACTAATTTTATGTTACGTCGATCTGGCGCACTGCTGGGCATAACCATCTATGGGCTATTTCTAATATTTGTTGTTTCCAGTGAGTTCGAGCTGACTCATGCTTTCGGTACAGATCACAGCCTGGATCGCAGCCAGTTCGATGAGAGTTACACATGAGATTGATTTATTTAATATTTTCGCAACACAAAAACATTGAAAACGCTGTCAGAATAAACAGCTAGAGCGGTTGATAAAATTAATTTGTTTTTTAAAATATATATTCGACATATTTTTAGCCGAATACGATGAAACCGAATGAGAGATTCAGATGGGGAACTAAAAGCTATTATCGCATTTTCTTGGCGGCAATTCTCTTCTGCGTTTCGCTGTATTATATCATTAGCACCGTAATACCGTATGGCGATGCCGAGCATGAAATCGAGGAGGGTTACTTTGTGAATACGTCGGGATGTCGCATGATGGCTCTGAGTCCGCTGTCAATGGGAACGGCAACCTACCTACTGCGACTTGAATCTAAGAACTGCAACAAACTTCAACTTTTTAAGGCCAAAACGATTCATAGAAAGAACTACCTGATACGGACAATGTCGAACGAGAAAATATTAAGTGCCTGGAATGTGGAAAACATTTCGGATATTGTATGCAAATACAAAACAGTGCAGCGATATGATGATATTAAGAACAAATACGTTACTAAAAGAATCATCCGTTTGAGCAATCAGATAATCACAATAAGATTGGAAGATAGTGTCAGAATACTGAGAATCCGATGCACGGATAGCCAAAACACTACGCTTTATCATGATGTTCATTTCTTTCTACATTCACGATCCCAACGTCGTCCGGAAAAACGCTCGGATCGTTTATCGGTTATGATAATTGGCATCGATTCGATGTCACACATGCATTATCTGCGCACAATGCCTTTCCTGGGCTCCTACATCGGCAAGCTGCCACACGTTGAGTTTTGGGGCTACAACCGCGTCGGGTCCAATTCCTACCCCAATCTGGTGCCACTGCTCAGTGGCATGCACGTCGACCAGCTGGAAGCTGCCTGCTATAATGGCTACGAGAACTACGATGAATGCGAATTCCTGTGGAAGCACTTTAAGCTGTCTGGTTACATAACGAGTTTCGCCGAAGACACCAGAGTGGGCGGTACATTTAATTACCAGAAAAAGGGTTTTTATCGCCAGCCAACGGACTTTTACCTGAGACCCGTAATGCTGGAAATCGATAGTCACACACGCTACAGCATTGATCTACGCGATGACATTCACTGCACTGGAAGCCGCAAGTATGCAGATATATTGCTCGAGTTCATCAACAAGCTAATACCGAATATAGCAAATAAGCTGCACTTTTCATTCTTTTGGCAGAGCCAGGGGGTGCATGACTACTTCAACTATGCCCAGTTAATGGACGAGAAATACCTGAAATTAATGCAAGTCCTAAACAATACTCGTATTTTGAACAACACCTTGGTACTCCTGATGTCCGATCATGGAATACGGTACGGTTCTTTTCGCCAGACCTACAAGGGAATGCTAGAAGAATCGCTGCCTCTTCTAATAGCCCTGTATCCCAAGTGGTTAGAGAAGGCCTACCCCAGAGCCATATCTAATCTTCGATATAATGCTCATAGCCTTGTCACAACCTTCGATTTACACGTGACCCTCAAGGACTTGACCAATTTGAAGCTTCTTCACAATAGCAATATTTTAAAACGAACGGCGGCACTTCGGGAGCTAGGCCCGAATATACCTCGAGGTATTAGCCTCTTTCTACCCATACCAAAGGTGCGAGATTGTTCATTGGCCGGCATTCCAGCCTCCTATTGTCTCTGTCATAGCTTAAGCTCGATAGCTACTGCCGACGTTAGATCTCAGCGTGCTGCTTTGTTTGTGGTGAAGAGTATCAATGCTATTATAGGAAGTGAGAAACTCTGCCAGATATTGAAGATAAAAGAAGTGCAAGCGGCGTATCTGCTGAATCGAAATAATGATGATTATGAGTATGAGGTTAAGGTGCGAATCCAGACGACTCCGGGAGAAGGACTTTTTGAAGGAACTACCAGATTTACAGGCGATTTACTAGCGCTTAATGGCGCTGTTCTACGAATCAACAAATATGGCAATCAATCGTACTGTGTGCACAACTATCTCATTGAAATGTATTGCTATTGTTTATAAAATAGATGGAGGAACTTAAATAAAGCAAGGTATCTCGATATAAGAGTGAACATGAGTCTTTAGTAAGGCAACAGATTCCTGCACAATGCAGCTAAAGTAATTTCTTAAGTTAACCTTGATATCGATAACATATAATTTTAGCTCGATATATCGATATTTTATTAACCCGATATATATCGAACACCTTAGTTTGTTCAAAACGATTCGATATATCTCAAGTTCTCACTAGTTCTGATTAGCTGTCAAAGTTTATTTCGTTAAAATATGTTAAAACAAAAATTGAAACACCGATTAGGCAATAAGAGGCTCGCATGGATTACTTTCGGAGCCATCCTGGTCTGCGTATTTAACTATATTCTGCTAAACATTATTTGCTACACGGACGACGAACGAGAATCTGCAACGGAGGGTTACTTTGTTAACACGTCCGGTTGTTGTATGCTGGCTCTGAATCCAAATGCAACACCATTATTGAAGTACTTTCGGCAAATCGAGTCTAGAAAATGCAGTAAGCCTCAATTATTTCGTGGTGAAACGGTAAAGGATACGAATTTCTTGGTGCTGGCAATGTCAGAGACAGAGATTGTACAGACCTTCGGAGTTAAAAGCATTACCGAAGTTAACTGCACTTATAAGCTGGTGGAACGATATAATGACTTCGCGAACAAAGTCACGAAAAGTAGAACCTTCTTTTTGAGCAATCAAATGCCACTAATTGAAGTTGAAGACGGTTCTAGGATATTGCGAATCCAGTGTTTTGGGGCTAAGAGAAAATTGCTTTACCACGATGTTCATTTCTTTTTACCTGCAGCACCACCTCCACGCAGAATCTCGACAACATCGTCACCGAATCGCCTGTCTGTGATGATACTGGGCATCGATTCCATATCACATATGCATTTTCTTCGCATGATGCCCTCAACAGCTGCTTTTATTAGGCATCAGCCGCACGTTGAGTTTTGGGGCTACAACCGAGTCGGTGTCAATTCCTTTCCAAATCTAGCCCCACTATTAACTGGCCTAAGCGACACGGAATTGGAGGGTAGCTGTTATAAGAATAAGTCCTCTTTTGATGAGTGCAAGTTTCTGTGGAATCACTTCAAGGCTGCGGGTTACAACACGAGCTTTGGCGAAGATAACAGGGCTATTGGCACATTTTCCTACTGCATGAAAGGCTTTGGACAACAGCCCACTGATTTCTATTTGCGGCCCGCGATGGTTGAGGTGGATTCTCACACTAGGTACAGCCTAGATGAGTTTGACTTGATTCACTGCAGTGCAGGACGCAAGTATGCGGACATTCACCATGAATTCATCAATAAGCTGATACCTCATTTGAACAGCGGGGATCACTTTTCGATCTTTTGGGAAACGCAAGGGGTTCACGACTATTACAATTATGCCCGTGTGTTAGACGAACGATATCTATGGTTGCTTCAACGCCTTCATAATATGTCTGTTTTGGAAAACACCCTGGTACTTTTTATGTCCGATCATGGTTTGCGTTTCGGTTCTTTTCGCAGAACCTGGCAGGGCATGTTCGAGGAGTCTCTGCCGTTTTTGATAGCCCTGTATCCCAAGTGGTTAGAGAAGGCTTATCCCGCAGCCATATCTAATCTTCGATATAATTCTCACAGTCTTGTCACAACCTTCGATTTACATGTGACCCTCAAGGACTTGACCAATTTGAAGCTTCTTCGGAGTAGCAACATTGTAAATCGATCGGCAGTACTGAAGGGACTGGGTCAAAAGATACCTCGAGGTATTAGCCTGTTTCTGCCCATACCAGAGGTACGAGATTGTAAATTGGCGCACATTCCAGCTAATGTATGTAATTGTCATAAGCTGAACAAAATACATACGTCTGCCATAGTATCCCAGCGAGCTGCTCGCTTTGTCGTGGATAGCATCAACATGCTGATCAAAAGTCACAAGCTCTGCCAGAAATTGTACCTGCAGGAGGTGCAAGAGGCGTATGTTCTTAAAAAAGGCGCCGATAAGCAGTTTGAGGTCAAGGTTCGATTGCAGACGTCTCCGGGCGAAGGACTTTTTGAAGGAACCACAAGATTTTCGGATAATTCACTAGCTCTAAATGGAGCTATAATACGCACCAACAGATATGGAAACCAATCGTATTGTGTAAAAGATCGTCACATTGAAATGTTTTGCTATTGCTTATAAGTGGATTTTATAATGATAAGTTGTTCGTTTGAGAAGAGAGATTTGTAACCGCAAAATTAAGGGATTGTCCCCTTAAAAGAAATACAATTTTATAAGATATATTTTATAAGTCTGGCCGAAGAGCTCATAAACATCGTGATAACGACAATTACAATAAAGCATTTGTTCATTTCGAAGGCGCAAAAGTTATCACTCGGTCGAGTCGCCGCCTGACAGTCGAACAGCCTGCTCCAGACACGAGCTAGACCCATTTTCATTTCCATTTCCATTTCCAGTTTCTGCCTTGGCTCCAGTGACTGTGCCTCAGCGAGGCAAGCTCCGCGTCAGTTCAGTTTGACGAACTGATAAATGTCAAATGGTTTATGACACACGGGTCTCGCCTCTGACTTGGTTGAGTTTTGTTGTTGTTTCTTTTTGTAATACACTTTCATAGGGTATTATTATTTTATTGCCATATTTGTAACACATGGGCAGACTTTTTATGTCGGGTTGCCCCGCAGTTTATTTCACTGCTGAAATCGAATTATTTTCTATGCTTATATATATACAGTAATATAATACATATAGCCCAATGCCAATAAGCAATAAACAATCTTACAGTTAGAAACTTTACATTCTGCGATCGCGCTACTGCTTCTTTAAATAAACAGCTGATCGGCTTGATTTGATTTACCCAAGCTCCGCAAAGTTTTCCTTCAAGGTCAGATAATATGGCCTCGGAGTAGGACCTCCATTTAATGGACTCTTTGCAGGAGTTGGCAATCTTTAAATGTTAAAAACTGTGAGATTAGCCTAATTCCACTATCGACATTTCTTACATTTTTGGCGAATGTAACATTTTTTGCAAATGTGAAAAGTGTGGAAAGGCAACATATTTCACATTAGCAAAAAATGTAAGAAATGTTGATATGAGCAAAATCTTCAGCATCGAATCCTATAGCTCTATAGAAATAATCGGTTAACAATTAAGTTTTTCACGATATCTTCATCAAGCCTAGCAATTACGAGCTTCACGCTTCTAACATATCTGCAAGCCAGTATATAGTCGGACTACTTTATTCTTATGCTCCCATAGGAACAATCGGTAGGAAATAAAGCTTTTTTATAAAATCGGTATTTAGCCATTAATCAAGGGTATTTAATCTTCGACGTGTCGCATTAGCTTTCCAGCTGGCGTTTTTTTTTTTATACCCATTAAACGCGATTTGTATTGTGAGTGTTGTCATAGATTTTGATATTGTTTCTGAGATTGTTGTTTGTTGTTGTTGTTTGGTGTTGGGTTTTGTGCTGGCTCGCTTTATGATCTTTTTATATTTATTGTCATCAAACGTATTTTGTTGAAGCTTTTTGTATGCATTTGAATTTATGATTTTGGCTTTCGTCTCTTTGACTTTCATATAGGTTATAATTTCCGATTGTGAACCATAAATATTGTGTTCGCTACGAATTGTTCAATACCGCAATGCCACGATGTAAAAGTGTTTTCTTTTATGTTTGTCAATTTTTACAAATGCCCAACTTAAATTATAAACTTTTCCAAGCGGTCACAATCGATCTTGGATCAGCTAACAATCAAACCAATTTGTTGGACTTGTTTAATATCGAAGAAATAGAATTCGTGTTGGAGTTAAATAGCCCGGAATATTATTGTAGAGTTTTTGTTTAAATAAATTTGCTTCCTTTGATATTAAGAAGACTACACTACATTTTTTAATAATTTGGTTTAGGTGGAAGTAAAAAATATTTTCAAATAAGAAACGCAGAATGCTATTGCATAAAAACTATTACAGCTATTGATGCTGAACAAGATTACAGATACTTTATGGGGTTGGAGATGCTTTCTTCTGCCTGTTCACATATTTCACAGAAAACCCTTTTTTTCTCATTAATAGTTTTCTGCAGTAATGCTTCTTTTGTAAAAACTCTCATATATAAAGAATGCCTTGTTCTTGGTCAACAAATCAGAATCTATATAATGGATCTATTTATGATAATTTCACTATGCAATTTATATAATTTACTTAGCAGAACGCCATAAAATTGATATTTAAATAAAAAAAAAGGAAGCCCTGAAAAGCCTTTACATGAACCAACTATAGCCGCTGGCATTGGGATTGCCCGCAGCGGATAATTTGCGTCAAAATGTCAGTTTATTTGAAGAGCCAGTCCCCAAGTTGTCGGCGTTGAGAGACGTGCAATTGAATTAAAATTAAAATATATAGCGCAAAGGCAGGCACAAAAAAAAAAAATGCATTCGTTATAATTTGCAATTTATTTACGAGCAACATGTGCGCGTGGAGGGGATTCACGGGGATCGCGTGTTGCAACAAAAATTATAAATTTAAAAAAATAATTAAAAACCATTTGGCTGCGGCGCCATGGATGCCAATGCCAAATGCCGGATTCGGTTTGTCCAGCACACAACTCGCATTCAATTAATGCAAAATGTCCTAAAATGAACGCATTTTTCACTGATTGTTGGCGATTGTCAAGCGCGGCCTCCGTCGACATTCAGCAGCGTCGTCGGCTGGCAAATTGGAATGCGCCCGCGGTACGTGATCCCCGCGTGAGCTGCACGTTTGCCAATCCCGATTGTCAGACCCAATCCCATAGTGTATAACTGCTTTTTATTCTTTTTGTGTTCGTTAAATAATGGGATAAAAGTATATAAAATTAAGCAATGGACTGTCCCAGCTGCCAGCTGCCAGTTGCCAGTCAGTTTTTGAACTCTTTTCCAACTTGTCACATGACATTTCAACAGATTAATCGAAATGCTCTGTAGCGGGGCTGCCAGTACGAGACACTCACTAATTATTGTTATTCTAAGGTTAAAAACTTTTATCCAGGAAACTTTAAATTACAGGTGCAAGAAACGGGAAATTGAGTTGCGGCACGAATAGAATAAACTTCCGGCGATTTGTACTCGATATCTTTTTAAATCGATTATAAAATAGTTTAAAAAGATTTTTTTGACTTCAGACAAATCATATTTTAAGTACAAAAAAGTGCTAATAATAGCTTACACTCCTTAAAGTATTATTTGTTGTTCTTTTAAAAAATGTACAAAATCGAATAGCAAATAATAAAAAAATGTTCTGCTATGCACTATTAAAAATGCTGTATAAAATCGTCTAAAGCTTTATAATTCCTCTTTTATTCAATTTTTTTATTTTGTTAGTAATCTTTTCTTGGTAAAAATTTTGGTAAAGAAATTTCTAATTTTTGGGGGTGACACAGAAATCTCTTCCAGCCCAATTTGAATATTTTTGATGGATGAATTGTTCTTCCGGTTGGTTTGAAATCTCTTTGACAAAATAGTCAAAGGATTTTGAATGTAAGATGTAAAAGAAAACCAATGAGTGGAATGTAGAGGATTTTGGATTTACTGAGAATTCGGCAAGCTTTGATTTGCGCTTATCATTTTAGTTTAGTTTATAAAATTGTATCTTACCAAATCTCTTGTAAACTTTTGGTAACTATTAAACAAATCAAATCCTTCCAAGTTCTAAATAACCGACTTATTTATCAGATGCCAATCTTCACATTTCTGTGACTCATTTATTCATGCAGATATTCTCAAATTTGTAGAAAACTGTTTTTGTTTTTTTTTGAGTGTAGTTATGCCCTTTCCCACCAAAGAGGTTACGATTATTAACTGATAAATATAAATCAAGTATGTCAATAAATTTCTTGAATATAGTATAGAATTGCGTGCAGACTTTTGGTTCCCAATGCGGCTTATCGGGGTAGTCCGCAGCGATGTGATTTCCAAGTGTCCCAAGACTGTAAATTTCGATGTCTCGCGGCAACAACGTCGTTCGATTCACTCAATGTCCAAGTATAAATCTCAAATTGGGCAAACAGGTAATCACTCAAATCGCCCTGATTTGGTTCAGATTGGTAACGCCATAAATAGTTGTCAATATGGTTGATGGCAGCTCCGATCACGGCTGGTGTTTTGGGATTGGGCTCATAAATTAATTCAATCAATGTCAAAAGAAATTGTTATTTCACATCTGAGTGCGGCCATAAATTCGCGCCGTGTCGATCTTATCGCTAATCGATGTGTATGTATGTCGTGTGGGTGGGCCCAGATGCGATGGGGTTGCAATCAGCAGGGCTCCATGGGGATGACACACATATTAGTTGGCTCATAAATTAAAGTTAACTAATTTCTCTATTCATTATGTAGAGCGATATGCGATATAATTGCGATAAGCTGTTCGCCACGATATGAGTATTTTTTTGTGTTTAACTTTAAGTACTTGCGAGTGTGTTCTTCAATCCGAACGAGGTATTCATCGCATCTGTATGCGTATTTATGCATAGCTGAGTACTTGTACGTGTATTATCTACGCCTCAGTTGATGTATTCATTGCCATTGGAGTCAATCAAAGGCTCATCTGTCAAATGACAAATGATTTTAAAATCACTTCGCAAAGCTGCATCACTTAGCCCACAGAGCCCAGAAGTCGAGCTACTTCAAGCACTGTCAGAGGGAATAAAAAAAACACGCACACACAAAAATTCCATAGATTACGGATGCGGGAAACAGACACTTTAAATGCTTGCGATATTGTCAATCAAAATTCAATCGAAACCATGAATCATGACAGCCAGAGGATGGTTATGCTGATGATGGCTTCAAGAGCGACTCGGTCTCACTCATTCAACACTGATGGATAGATGGATGGCTGGATGGCTGGTTGGACGGATGGATGGATGGCTGAATAGCTCGGTTGGTTCGCAGCTCGAAAGAAAAAACTGAAATCGCTCAAACAGTGAATGCGTGTTGAATGTTGGCCCCATACACCCAACCATGTGGCAGGCACTTGTCGTTTGAGTAGCACTGGCAAAAAGCATTTAGCATTGGCATCCTGCCGCATGCCGCATGCCACATGGCACATGCCATATGAGATCCTCAGGACGAGCCATGCGAGTGTCAAGCACATTGCGCTCCTCCTCATCATCATCATCACCATCGTCATCTCCAGCAACATCTCCGACGTCATCAGTCAATGTCATTGAGATAGTTTTGACATTTTTATGAGCAAATGATAAGACCCACTCACACTGCTGGGTGCTTGTCTGATGGCCAATGTTTGACACTTGCCAGCCCCATTCACAATTGGCATTTCGAAACTACCCGAAACCCCCCAACATCATCCTCTACATTGCTCACACACGAGCTGTAGACAGTTTTTTATTTCGCGTTTGTTGTGTGCATTTGAAATTTATGACTTGGCCTGATTATCTAACGTATACGCGGTTTTTTAAATTTAACGCTGACAGAGTACAACCCTATCTTTCAGTATTGCCATTGTAATCAATCATGCTGGTCATCTACAGGCACAGTCGCTAAATGTTGTCAAAGTCCGCGTAAAATACGACTTACTTTTAGTGACAAATTAGGTTTCCACAGAGATACTAATACCAGATAGTTAACATACTTTTTATAGGTATTTATGAATAACATTAAAACGAGAAAGGAAGTATATCTACGGCAAGCAGAAGATTTAATATCCTTGTAGACATTTTCCTTTTCCCTTTTGCAGATATATAAGAATAGTGAAGCTCGCTAATGCTGAGTTTGAGGTAAATAATTTGCAAAAGAGAATATTTTGCCATATAAGAACTTACTCTTCGACAGATCTTTTCTTTGGAAGCTTTATGATATAGCGGTCCGATTTGGCCGGTTCCGACATATTTACTGCCTACAACAGAAATAATGAGATACTAGTTCGCATAGAAACAGACAGATGGACGGACGGATAGACGGATCAACAAGGCTGTTGATGATGATCTAGAATATATATACTTTATGGGATCGGAGGATCGACGATATTACACACTCCGGAAGACTGCGGTCAGAGGTATCGATATTTATCAATAATCCACAATTGATTATTAAGTATGAAGAACCAGTCAAGTTTCAGCTCTTCTCGGAACTAACATAAAGCCCATATAATAATATATATTTAAGCACTTTTGAAGAATGTAAAAAAACATAAAAACTGATTTCGCTCTAACGCACTTTTATGGCAACACGAATTTCCTTATCAATTGTCAACATTCAACATGCCTCAAAATGTATCAAAATATGCACGATGAGCCATGCCTTTGGTTAATAAATTTTATAAATAATTTCCTGTTACCAGCTAGTATATAAATAAAATTTCTAAAAAACGAACGAAAAATTTTGTTTTTGGAAGCCACAAGAATAGCGACAGCTTTTGACCATTAATAATTGCAGTGCATTGTTATTGACCAATGGCGAAAATTTATTTTTGCCTACTAATATTGACTTCCGTTTCCGCTTGAAAGTCCAAAGTATGTTTCCGTTCGCTCTCTCTGTCCCCCTCTCTCTCCCTCCCGATTGGCTTCCTCCATCACATTTCCCAACTAGCCGTGAAATTTGTTATCGCCGCATTTACAAACAGCGGCAAAAAAAAAGAGCAAAAATAGAATTAAAATTTCCGCAAAATGTTGCAGCAGAAAAAGAAAACTGTTTACAAATCAGACAAATAAATTTGCAAATAAATACCCATACGCGAAATATTTGACATATATTAATTAAAAATGGGCGAAAATTTATATTAATTTTATTCAAATTGTCAACGGCAACAAAGGAAGCTAATTTCAATTTATTTTATTTGTCTCTCCCAGGTTTGTCATCAGCCCCTTTGCCCCTTAGCCCGCCATTAAATGCCACAGAAAGCGCATAGATAAAATTGACATTTCTAAAAATTACAAATACATAAATTCCAGTATTGTTTTGTATTGTTTTTATCTGTCGCAAAATAAATCACAAGTATTAACCCAGCATTGAGTACTGTTTATTTTCGAATTTAATAGATTAAATAGATAATTTCTTATGTTGGGAGAAGCTTTGAACGGACTTGATGGTTCGAGATCTCAATAGACAAGAGAGTCATATTTTTATTGCGCCCAACAAATAACAAAACGTTATGCTATAATTGTCTTCAGTTAAAGGTTGTTTAAAATATATCAAAATTTATTGCGCTTTATAAAAAAACCATCGAAATAGTTACATTTTAACTGAAATCCAACCTTTTCTGTTTGTCCCCAAAACTTTATTCTGTGTTCTGTGTTCATTCCTATTCCTCTCTGGTTAATTAAATAAATATATTTACGCATAACAAACTGGAAATATAGCACAAACGTAAGAAACTGTAGACCCAGTGCTAACCAGCTGAGTCCCTTGGCGAGGAATTGTACGCCATTGAAACTATCATAAACAACATCCTCACATCCCCTTGTGTTTAAAACGTTCCCTTCATTATAACATATTGGCGGCACCTTACGCAAGTAGTCCAAATAAGTTCGTGGTCCCTCCAGGCCACAACAACCCAACTGAGACAAGAAATGTACACATATGTTACAATAAATATTTGAAATTTGCAATCAGAGGTTCCACCTTTGCCTGTATCTCAATCCAAAACTGATCATCAGATTCGAAGTATTTTCGCCAGTGTTCAATAAGAAAATCGCGAGCATCTTTGACAGTTATGAGTGTTGCAAGCTGCACGACACATGTGGCATATGTGCGGTGCATAGCATATATCAGTAGGGGCAAATACTAAGGTATTTCAGTTATATTTCATACATATTTAAAGGCTTTCATTTACATACCAGCACAGCCATCCAATCGGTCGTCGCATAGAGCAGACTAACACTCAGATATATCGAGACCATCTCAAGCACTATCAAACTAGTAAGTGATATATAGACCCTTATCACAAGAAATTTCATTCTATTAAACAGATATAGCTCATCATATCCCAATATGTGGGGCAAAGTTATGCGCATTGTTATCGCAAGTATAAACTGAAAAAGAAAAGAGTCAATGATAAAAGCTTTAAACTTGTCAGTTATAATATTTTAGTCAGCGTTTAACAATTCTTACGCCCAGTATAACTATAAATGAATATTTAACAGCTACTGCCAGCATTTTGGGAATTTAATATTTTCCCAGATCAATTTTGAAGTATATTGCTAAGCTAAGTACTAAGTATTATAAATATTTATATAAGTATAAATAATTTGAATTATTTTGTTATACATAATTATGTACAGGGGAATTCTGCTTTCCAGTCTTCCCAATTTTATTATATCTTCCTTATAACAAATTATATTTGATACGACACCGACAAAGCTGAAATATTTATATTTATATTTAAAATATATACATATTTAGCTTCTTCGATGGATCCTATAGTATGTAGAACTAATTGAAAGCTTTAGTTAAGTTCCGTCAAAATATGAGATTTTGTACGAAAGCATATCATAATCATATTCAGACTCAGTCAAGAGTGCAAACACAATAAAAATGTTTGGTGGCTCAGTTTACAGTTCGAACGAACGCTTCATAAGACTCAAATCGTAAACCTGATTTTCCTTACATTTGAACCTAGCTTTTGCTACGAATCTTGATATTCTGTGAAGAACTATAAATTTTTATAACCCTTGTAGACGGTATTTTAATGTTGTCATGAACTGTGTCACGCGTAGAAGGAGACATCTTCGACCCCATAAAACAAATATATGTATATTCCAGATCATTATAAACAGCCGCAGTTCAGATGTCAGGATCAGCCGAATCGAAACACTATATCATATAGCTGCCATAGAAATTATATGTCTAAAAGTAGGTTCTGGTAGACATTTGATTCTTTTTAAGAGTATTAAAGCTACTGGTAATGATATTAACAACTACGAACTAAAACTAAGTTTAAAAAATATAAAAAATTTAATTGCTTAGCAGCAACATAACTTAAAAAAATTGTTTTCTCGGCAAGTTTATGCTCAAAAAAAAAAAAATTGGTTGGCAGCCCTGGTATCAACAATTCAACAATTTGATGTCAACTGTTTTTCTTGTTTGCATTGTTTGCATAGCTAAATAAAAATCTGTACATATTAATATTAAATACTTGTAAAATTTTTTATTTAAGCCCAATTATTTATTGTATATGTTGGCCTGCTTTATATTTATAATTTTTTGTTTCAATTTTTTTTGTGTAAACAAATTCACATTGTTGATTTATGGGATTTGTTATATTTGACACTTGCTGTTGTTGCTGTGGCAGTGGCAACTACAGCTGCATTGTTGTAGCCATTTTATTAGAGTCGAGCTGTGTGTGGGGGGGGGGGGGGGGGGGGCTATTTTATAATCGGCTTTCTATATTAATTTAAATTTTATTTTTGGCATTTTATTATAATTACTCTTGATAAATGTAAATAGTCATCGTTAGCAGCAGTATTTTTGTTTGTTATATTTGTTATTGTTGTTGTTGTTGTTACATCTACTGCACTTGATGTTGTTTAATTTAATTGTCCCCCCCGACTCCCTCTCTCTTACACTCCCCCAGGCCTTCTTTCACTGTCTCTCTGCTCTACCAATATTCGAATATATCGTATGGGTTATTTGCGTCTCGTTTTTTTGCTGTTGGCATTTCTATTGCCCGCCCCTCAAATCCCATTCTAAATAGAATACCAAAAATATTTTCGCGGTTTTGAATGTTTTTAATTGTATTAGCAATTGCTGTTGCTTTTGTTGTTGTTTATGCAAAAAATTAACATTCTATGCTCTTTGTAATAAGCGCCCCAAAATGAGGACAATCCACAAAAACAAGGAAAACAACAAAAAATTGTATAATATTTTGCACAAACATTTATTATAGTTTATATTTATAATAATTTAATGCTAATTTCAACAAATCCAAAAGCATTTGTGGCTCGGTGCCTAAACACAAGTTTTGCATAGAAGCACTTTTGTATCTGCTGGTGATATTTTAATTTTACTGTCACATTTGATCATAAATTTTCAGATTAATAAATAATTCGTCGCGCGGTTTGGGTTGCTAAATTCTGTGCTCCCAACTAATAAACCGCATGCGGAGGGAAAAAGCTAAGCTGAAAGGATTTTATAAGCCCGGCTTGCAGCGTTGCGATATTTAATTAAACTTCCTTAGTGCATGGTAAAAATTGTCAAATGAAAATCTTCTTTAATTCCACAAATGTTAATAAATACACATACACATATTTGTAAAAATCTGAAAATTCTACGCTGAATATGCAGAACGAGGGCCGTCGAAACAGCTACGATGTTGTTTCCATACCATCCTATGAATCGCTGCCAGCTAAGTCGGAAAGTTCGCATCCATCGCAGGATGCAGTCAGAGTAACGAACCGAATGGTCTTCAATCTGAAATGTAATGCCGATGGCTATGGTGAAAGACCTTTTCTGCCGTTCTATGCGCCAACACCGCCAGTTTCCGAGGCTGGGGATACAGATTTTCCCGATTCAGATCCATTGTCGAAAGACACCTTATTGTTTAATGTTTCAGATATTCAAGCTAATATTGAAGTGTTCTGTCCACAGCTTATGATCATCTTTGGGCAGGGTGATATCAATTGTGCCCTATACTTTATAATTGATTCCCTACATCGACCATTTCAATCGAATGCGTTTGTCACGTTGCTCGTGGAGGAGAGCATACGCGACGAGTTGGTGGAGCGCATTCGTGTCCAGATGCGTCCGCTGTGCGAACGGGTGGCCACACAGTCCAGCTATCGGGCTTCAGTGAAGGCGCTTCACGATCTCAAACTGGAACTAATCGTTGCCGCCAAGGAGCAGGTGCCGCCGCCATTGGCTACGCCCATTGTGGTCTGCAATGGTAAGCATAATCAGCTGGGGCTCGGCCCCGGCCCAACAGGTGTCCTCTGCCTGCACACATTCCGCACCACGAACGAGGCCATCGAGATATGCCGAAAGGATAGCGTGCACTTTGAGAGCGTCAGCATTTGGAACGAGTCTGTGGAGGGTCTCTACCAGCTGGCCGTAAACATCGACTGCACCAACTTCTTCTTCAACTGCTGTAATGTGAATTTGAGCCCCATTATTCCATCACATGCCGTGAACAAAATTGATGTGCACATTGTCGACCGATTCCACTATGAGACGCTGCAGGTCAATGACAAAATAAAGATCATAGTATTTCCGATTGGTGCGCATTTAGCCCAGCGAAGTACAGAAGATCGCAGAATTTCGCTGGCTCCCATTGTCTTCCTCAATGAATGAGCCCATCTTGGCTTCCAGCTTCCTCATTATCATCTTTTTGGCTGGCACGTTTCGGGAGTTTCCGAGATAAAAATTCGTTCAATTGTTTATGCCAAAAATATATAAATTTCCATCAATATTTCGCGTTATTTTTGGATCAATGATAAGCCATTTTATGCTAATTGATTTTGATGATGATGCGATCAAATATGATGGCAGCTGTCAGCGGCCGTAATACGAGTAATATATGTATATCTTTTGTGTTTTTTGCGTGTTTTTCTTTTTATTAGGGTTCGTTTAATGAGTCCGTCTTATGTAAATATGAGCAGTTAGCAAACGGGTTAAGCGCATGACTAATTCGGCTTGCAGTTCCTCGAGCATGCAAGCGCATTTGCCTTCCTATAGCCCAATGTACCCAGCCATGAAGTATGCTTCTTATAAAAGAAGATAACAGTGACAAGAGTAAATGAAATTAAAATAATAATAAATCACCCAAAAGTGTGCATAGAACTACAAAAACTCTCTTTAAAAAGATCTTTAAGATCGTTTAGTGAAAACATAAATTTATATATTTATATTTATTAATATTTATATATTTTTTTTAATGTTTATGCAGTTTTACTTAAAGAAAATATAATTACAATAATAATAATAAATAGAATAATACCAAACATATTAATAATAATAAAACAATAAATTTAATTGTTTTCTTTCCTTTGGTAATTATAATTAATAATTTCTATAAGTATAATGTAAGATCCATGTGTTTTATAACTATAATTTAGGCCAAAGTCCGTAGTAAAGACTCTAAATAATTTGATTTTATTCAGCATAAGAAAGTTTTATATCCATTTCAAGCTTACATAGACCCGGAATGATTCAATAATTATAATCTTATTATTCCGAAATTTCTTTTAATATAAATCTAAATAATTAGCATGACTATTTGCCAGGACAATGACATTGCAGTGCATTTGAAAGTCTGCTAAGGCCGATACGATCAAGCCCACTTGCTTTGCGATACGTTCGCAACGCTTCATTTGAAATTTACGAGCGACTTTTAACAGCGCCAAGCCGGACACATTGTGCGACAGATTCAGCTGGCCAATAAAACCATCAGTTTACGACTGTGGAGAGGATGATGCGTGAGTGACGGAGTCGTCGTCATCGTCATTGTCATCGACATCGACATCGACTTCGACTTCGGCATCGACATGGACGCACCTCCCGGCACTTAAGAGCGCCAAAAATAAGCCAGGCTCAGGCTTTGCGATTATCGGTATTGAATTTATACAGCATAAATCTTGCAAGAAGTGACACGAGCGACACACAGCCGACTGTCAGACCCCAGATGAAATGGGCATGAGTGTAAATAACTATGTGTGGCCCAGGGCTCCAAATGGCGCAGGTGCAGCCGCAGATGCAGCTCGTATTGGGGCTCTAACTGTGGACAATGCGTTGAATTCATTATTAAATGCGGTTTGAATTATTTGTCGAAATGTCCGTCAGATATATATGTCTGGCTGACATCTCCAATGGATGTGACATTGATGTTGACATTGACGTTCAGCCAGACGAACGCCACAGCTCCAACGAAATAAATATAATTGTTAATGGCCAGTGACTCATCTAGTCATCTAGTCATTCAGCCTGTCAGTCATTCAGTCTGTCATTCAGTCAGTCAGTCTGTCATTCAATCAGCTAGACAGTGCTGCGGCTAGTCAGTGCCTCTTAGCCATTATTTAATATGTTATTTTATTGTTATACA